ATGCAGGCTTGGGCTGAGGCCAGCCTTTTCATTAGAACAAATATGAAAGTGAAGGTAATGAGTCAGTTACTTAGGAGTTATAAGCAAAATCTTCCTGGACAGTATAATTAGTGATTTTAGTGTTCCCATCTTCTTGCTGCACATATGCATGTGAAAGTAACGTTGAGCTTTGAAGATTATTTTAAAGCTCTGAAATGTCATGGCATTTAAATCTGTCTTGTTCAGATTCCTTTTCAAGACCCACTTCTATCATGATGATGGCTATAAGACATCATCTAACTAACAGTGAAGTAGAAGGTCAGTTTGAGAAAGCGCTTGATATTATCTCTCTTCCCCTGCCCCAAATCTTCATTTGTCGTTTGTCATTTTAGATTCTGAGTTCTTTGTAGATAGGTTTGTCTTTCGCTATTCTTTTGGATAGTGCCATTTCAGCCCGTTGTAGGTGCTGTTGCTATATAGATAATAAAAAAGAAAATTACAGCTAATGGAGTGTATTAAAAAGGTTTGTTTCTCACTTCTCACTTTCCAATATTTTCCTCATTCAGTTATTTGATCACTTAACTATTTTGCCTAAGGCTACAGCCCTTTTACTGTTAATCACTCTGCTCGCTCTTTCTACCCATAAGCTAGATTTTGCAGAAAAAGATATTGCAGAATTAGAGAGGTTCAGAGAAGGGCAACAAGAAATGATCAGGGACATGGAAAAAAGAGATTGAAAAGACTGATTCATTACTCTAGAAAGCAGACTAATGAAAGGAGACATGATACAAGTATATAAAATAATGAATGATATAAAGAAGGTAGATCAGGAACTTCTGATTTCCCTGTTTCATTATATCAGAATAAGGAGACATTCAATGAAATTAAAAGGTAGCTAATTTAAAATTGATAAAAGGAAATACACATTCTGGCTTGCTACAGGAAATCATTGAGGCCAAAAACATAACAAGATTAATTTATATGGATATAAAGAATCTGTTTTCAAGATAAAAATGTTGGAAGAGATATTAAACCTCATGCTTCAGGGTTTGAGCCAACCTTTAACTACTAGGAGAACAGGATGAGGCCTAATGTCTGAGGTAGACATCCCACATTTACTTACTACAGGGTTCTTATACCTTCCTATGATGCATTTGATACTGGCTTCTGTTAGAGATAAGACAGTAGACTAGATGGATCTCAGATCTGATCCAGTTTGGCTATTCCTGTGTTTCTTAACTGGCTATGACCTGGGGAAGTCCTGCTCCCAGACTAGTGCGCAGCCTAAAACACCTTCTCCAGCAGATGCAGTGAAGCAGAAACTGAAATGGTGCTAGAATGTGAGCTAGACAATTGTACGGGTATGCCAACCCATGAGACTGCTAGCCAATTGGATTGCTAGTTAGCGTCTCAGTGGTCCCATCGCTTTCAGCCTATTGTTGCCAAAGCATCCCTGCCTCACTGCAAAGTGGAAATTGTATTGTCCTTCTGAGAGCACAGGAAGTAGTTCTGCACTCATTTTGGTCCCTGCCCTGCTCCCACTGAATTCAGAGAAGTTCTGCCATTGACTTCCGTGTGCACAGGACTGAACCACTTGCCAACAAGAGGAATTATCTTTGTGTTCATATACCCATATTTAGCAAAATAATTATAACACAACTGCAAATTTTGAAAAATTAATGCAGAAAATGCTATAGCACCATCACTGGAAACTTAGTCACTTGTATTAACAGGAATTATAGTAGTGGCTCTAAAACTTTTGTACTGGTGACCCCTTTCACAGAGCAAGCCTCTGAGTGCAACCCCCCCTTATAAATTAAAAATATTTTTTTATATATTTAACACCATTATAAATGCTGGAGGGAAAGCGGGGTTTGAGGTAGAGGGTGACAGCTCGCGACCCCCCATGTAATAACCTTGCGACCCCCTGAGGGATCCCAACCCCCAGTTGGAGAACCCCTGAATTATAGAGATCTCTTGTAAACGTTCATAGGTACTTCCTGCCTCTGCACATTTTTAGCAAATATTCAACAGCATCCAAAAAAAAAAAAGAAGAAAAGTGGCCCAACCTTTCCTAGTGATTCGTTTTATTCACTTTATGGTTGCTAATTAAAATAAAAAGCATACACATTCCATTTCACTAGTAAGGCATAGCGCGCTCTCCTGTTCACAGCTGATCCCCAGCTGCTTGATGAGGGAAACATTCAACTACAGCCCTTTATAATAACAAACACTTATAAAACACTTCATCTTCACAGACTTTTACAAATACTAAGAGCAGATCGTTTCTGTGGAGGTACAGGAAACTGTGGGTGTGTTTGGAGTGCACTCTGTTAACTGACCTTCCTTGCCAGCCCCAGGCCCCAGCCGTGAGTCCCAAGTGCAGATGGCTGACAGGGAGCATGCCTAGCAGGGAAAGAGGAGGTCCCAGTTGGACCCAGCCACTAGCTACATGCTGGCATTGGGGGTCAGTACAGTTTATGGAAGAAGGTTATAAGTTCAAGTCTTGAGGCTGGAGGAATTTACACTTCAGAGCATTGGAATAACACCCTCCTCTCCAACCTCATCCCACACTGTTTATACACCTAATTCTTGTCTGGTCCCAGTAGTGTTTCCCTCCCAATATCTGATCCCTTGCTCCAAACCACAGTCATTATGAGCCCCACAAAATCTGGACATATGATCAGACCTGGTTTTCCCTTTGTCCCTCAGAATCGCATCTGCCTCCCCCCCCCCCCCCATTATCGTCACAGTAGTCCTCCTACAGAAATTTGGTTTCCTTTCTTCCATATTCCAGCCTTCCTCCGTGTCTTTCTCCAGAAGACAGTGGCAGAGTGTTGTCCACACATAGTAATACTTTCAGACTCTCTGCTTACTTCTTCCACTCCCTGAGATAGCAGTGTGCAAAAAAACCCAACCTTGTCCGTTCTCTCCTGAGATTCCTCGTCTCTGTATATGGATCCTGGCCCAGAGAAGCGTTTAGTTCCAAACTCATTAACCAGCTATCTTCCTTTGGGAGGAAGAGTATCATTATGCCCACGTTGCAGACAGAGGAACTGAGACACAGAGAAAGGTGAAGTAATTTGCATGCACAGGCAAGGAGTCAGTGCCAGAACTGGGACTGAAACTCACTGTGACTTCCAGTCCAGTCTCACCTAGTCCAGTCTCAAGGGTTTTTCCCCCATTTTAAATTTACACTTTCATTGCAGAGGAACTGAAAAGACTAATTTTCCATTTCGTTTTCTAAATTGAGTTCATTATCTTACCTATATCTGAAATTGATTCATTATTATTTCTCAGGATTTTGAATAAAATCTGATTTTTTTTTTCGGTCCTTCATTTTTTAGATAATTTGTACCAAAGATCTCTTAGGACCAAGTTTACTCTCTGAACTTTATGGCCAGCATGCGTACATATGAAAACAAGTTGAGTCACTGGCTGAATGTAGCTATTGGCAGTAAGTCTAGAATACTTTCGAAATTCCATAGGCTGCCTCTGTGGTGAAGTAAATACTATGACCCATTATCAAGGAAGTAATAGAAGAAACAGAGACCCATTTAGGTGCATATTTACCCAGGTTTATAGCAAGCAATACCATGAGTGTGTATATTTCTGTCTCTGTTTAGATATTTCCTGCATCACGAGAACTGGGGGGAAATGATCTATTAACTTAGTTAACCCAAGCTGAAATCAGATTACTAATAGCAAGGAATTGTTTACTATTAGATCATAAAAATAAACATTCAATATTCTGCACTCTCACATAGTGTCCTGCATTTTCCATTTCTTCTGATGCAGCGATTCTCAAACTGTGGGGTCATGTAGTAATATTTGTTGTCAGAAGGGGGTCATGGTGCAATGAAGTTTGAGAACCCCTGTTCTAATGATTCCCAAAGTTTAGCTCATAGTAGCACGATTGGTGAGACTGTCTATGATGCCTTAATATGGAAGGTTGATGTTTTTATTGATAAACACCAGGTTTAAATTGGATTTGTTTTGTTTGGTTTTTAAAAGGGGTTATTGAAATGTTTTACTTGTGAAAAAAATTAGACATTCATATAGGCCCCCGTTTTCAAACTTTGCTGACTAAAGTCAGGTTTCTTAGTCTGTATTTAGACATCTAATTAGATGTGGCTTGATTTTTCAGAGGTGGGTTCATGCTAAAGCCTGGAAATTTGCACGCAAACTGCAGATATGAAATATCCCAGTTTGCATATTCAAATATGCCTGATCTTATTAAAATAACGAACCCAAATTGCATATATGCAGCACAAAAGCACATCACTGTTTGTTATATCATCCCCATTCCAATGATATTCCACCTTCCTCTTTGACTTTCAGCACCTTGTATGTCATTTCACCCCTATGTCTTTTCTACATATAATTTCAGAGGGGGAGGTAGAGAAAGAAAAAGTTGATGATGATGATTTAACTTTAGATTAGACTTGTGGGCTATGAAAGAGACTGAAGGGAGGAGGGAGAATGGATGGTGCAGAGCTTAAAAGGGTTGTGATGGGGCTGTGAAGGGTAGAATGTAGTGGGGGAGGCTGGGGCTGGGAGACAGAATTAGAGGGGATAGGCAGGAGTTGAGACTGAGTGACTGGGGAGCAGGGTGGGGAGGAGTGGGAAAGGTGAGACCAGGCAAAATTATAAATTTAATGTCCACTTCAAGTGAATTTGTGATGTTGGGTTCTTTACCATATGATATGTATAGGGATCCTCCAGCATCAAATTTTAGTCAATGAACAATCTCTCTAAAAAGGTCCTGGAGTGAGAGAGAGAATATTTAGGGACAAATTTTCAAGTAGGCCTCAGAAATTGCATTCAGGTATGTTTTGTGTGTATGTAAGTTAAGTAATTTAATTTTAAAAATAAACATCTTCATGCTCAAATACTTGTGTGTGCAAAATCTGCAATTTAATTTTTAGCACAAAACTTGAATCGTTGTTTACTTGGATATTGTATAATGTAAAAGAAACTGTTTTCCATAAGGATATTAAATATTAAAATTTGTCTTTCAGGTGAAAAAGAATGGACTGTCTCAGACGATCAGTCAGGAGGAAAGAAAGAGGCAAGAGGTATTCTTTAAGTAATAAATTTTTAATTGTTGATTATTTAGTAATACAGCATGCCTGATTTGATATTTTGTGCACTTCCTTTATGTACCTGTCCATAAGGGGGACAACTCTAGTTGCATCCTAGTTCCATTCTCTGCTGCCCTATAAACTGAGCTGGATTTTCTCCCTCACTCCCTCCTTTGTCATCACCAAGGGACAGTGAAACCAACTGGATCTCCCTAGCATGTGAGTCTCCAGCTTGGTAGCTGGGATGACCCCCGTGCGCTCTTGGTGGTGTGGTTGAGGCAGGCTGTACGCCAGTGAACTCTAGCTGATGGATGATTCCCTAGAGGTCATAGCCAGTCAGCTTCTCTGCACTATGCTGGGGCAAGCATGGAACGAGCTCCAGAATCAGAGCTGCAGCTAGCGCCTTGTGTGTTATCCCTTCCACCCTCTAGCAGAGAATATAGGCCATTATCTCTAGATTGTGTACACAAGATTTATAACCGTCTCCTTCTCTGCAACTCCTCCGTCCCCTTGGATTTCTTGTCTGCTCTCTGTCGGATTTTGATGTATTTCATTATTTATGGATGAGGAGAATCCCAAGAGACATGACACGTCACTGAACAAGCCAGAGATTCTCCTTCTGCCTGTTGTCATTTTAGTGGACACTTGTGCTACACCCTCTGTTTTTTTTTTTGCTTTTGGGCCTGGGAGAGGGGCCTCCTTTTCATCACTTTGAATTCCTCAGGAGCCATCACTCCAGCTTCCCTGAAGTCAGATCTACATATACTCAGAGAGAGCAAGTCCTTTGTGCCTTTCAGGTTTAGAGCCTTTAGATTTAGCCAAAAGATGGCTTGCAAGCCTCAGGTTTTTGTGTTTTAGTGCTAGTGTTTCAGTAGAGGCAGCTTTTACAGGAATGGAAAAGAAGTAATCATAGGATGCAGCTATGCCTGCAGTTGGTGTTTGTACACCATTCTCATTGTGTGTATAGTTTAAACTTAAAAGCCTATTTGTTAGGTAAATTTCTGTAACACACCATCAATATGGAAACTTTGGAAAAATTTATTTGTTTGCTACGGTTGGGTGGGGTTTAACAGGAACAAGATTTTAAACTGAGGCACCACCTATAACTGTGATTAAAGTTAATATGCTAAGTCTTTGTGTATATTGTGTCCAAAGGAAATACTTCTATAATTATGATGCTCTAAATAGTAATACTTTTTAATACATTATTTCCCTTCAAACTATCATCGTTTTAATCTTGAATTCATGTACTTCTGCAAACTACATAAAACTGCAGTTCATGCCTGTTTGTTAATATTTTCATGAAGCACTCATTGTCTATTGTGATACAGACATCTGCTCATGCTGATGCAATGCAAATCAAGTCTATCAGACTTTTTTTCATAGAAAATCTCCTAAATTGACTATAAAGTAGTAATTGGTAAATATGATTTCAATCTTTCTCTCTCCATTTCTGTTTACTGTTATTACTGCATATGTGAGCCTAAGATTATCTTGATTTGTTCTGTCTGTCATGCTAAGTGTTTTGGGTATAAAGTGGTATTATACCAAAACTTGTTTGCACTTGCAGTCATCACATAGCAGATATTAATAGCAAATTGGCTTTAGTTCTGACTTTCAAACACACTAGTATGGCCTTGCAATTCTCAAACTGGACGAAGTCAATGAGGGCTCTCATAAAAATCAGAAACAAAGAAGCTCCTCAATAATACAGCGAAGGCTAGGCTCGTGTGTTCCCCTATGTACAAAAATGCACAGATCAGAACAAATTAGTCATGGAACTCTGCAGCTCTCTTTAGGCGAATCCTGTCCTGGTGAGTGCAGCTGGAGGAAACGCAATGTAGCCAGGGTGAAGTTAGAAATACATGTGGTGAGCAAAGGAAAATGGCCAGAATGCTGTATTCAGACACCCATTGCCCCCTACATCAGCCATATAAGTATAGCTGACCAGCTGCCATAGGCCGGCTAGCATCTGGCTATGTTCTGTAGACCTCTGGGGTGGAGGGATACATCAGTCTGGGATATAATGTTGTTTTAAGTGTCATTAACTTTATACATCTCCCTGTACTAAGACATGCACTTTTACAAGGATCATGCTGTTTAATGCAGCTGTTATATGGCTCCTGAAAAGTTCCTGGTCACATCCCTTTTTCTTCTGAGTCTGCTGGCTATACAGGTATCTTGTGGAGAGAACCGAGAATGGCTAGCCGTGGGGAGGGGACATCCCCCCACAGTCTGGCACCTGAGGCGGCCTCATGGTAAGGCCAGCCTTGCAGTATAGACATACCCTTTGTCTATTAGTCAGATTTGAAAAGGCTGCATCTTATCTTTCTTTTTTTTGGCAGTACTCCATTTTACATCTAAAAGTAACAGTAGTCACAAAATTTAAACTTGTATTGGCAAACTTAGTCTGGATGATAAATTCTTCTCTTGTAATTTATACCATAACTCATCCAAAACAAAACAGTTGATTGTAAGTCTGTTTTTCCTACCATGCAGGCTATATTTGAAGTAATATCATCTGAACATTCATACTTGCTGAGCTTGGAGATTCTGATCCGGATGTTTAAAAATTCCAAAGAACTGAGTTTAACAATGACCAAAACAGAAAACCACCATCTTTTCTCCAATATTGCTGATGTCTGTGAAGCGAGCAAAAAGTAAGTGTATTGTAAAGGACAAAACCCTTTTTTATTTTCATGAAATTCTGAGAGTGGTGGTTACCAGCAGAAATAAATTACTATGTGCACTATATTTCATTACTTTAGTAGGGAGCATCTTTACTTGATTTTTGTAATAATAGCAAGAAAAAAACAAATCTATTTTTAATTAAAACCAAATGGTCTCCAATGACAAATACAAAAGGTTGACATTTTATGCTTTAAAAAGAAAAAAAAGACTAATGCATTCAGATGATAGATGGTCCCGTCATATTTTAAAATAGTAAAATACATTTTGCAGCAGTTCAGAATAAGTAAAATACAATAACTAAAGCCTAAAATTGTGGTGCTTCAGTTACCTTTTTAATGATTGACAAGGAAATGAAGTTGTTCATTATTTAAAAACAACAAAATGCGTTTGAGAAGATGGATTCCATAATAGGTGTTGTCGAGTTATGGTATGTCACCAGTTATTAGCAACAGATTTATTGTTGCCTTACTATAACTCTGTGCCAAGAGGAAAAATGAGCTACTAAATAATACATTAAAACTTAATGGAAATCATTTTGGGAAGATGTCAAAATGGGGGTTAATCTTCTTGAATATTTTAAGGCATTAAATAAACATTCTTGTTTTTTAAAAAGGAGATAAAACTTTTGAAGTACTTAGAAATGTGAAATAAGAAATATCATGAGTGTAATTAAGTCAAACCAAAACAGCAGAAAAATATTTCAATGATTCTTTTTCCGTGAATTGAAGAGGTGCTGCAGAAATGACTTCCATATTTATCTTGCTTATATAGAACACATACAAATATGTGTGTTTGGGTGGAGGAGGAGGGAGATTTTTTGTTTGTTTGTTCATTCTTTAGTTCTTGGTTCAAATTTTGTCCTCATTAATCCCAGTCCTGCATGGAATGAAATGAAATCAGTACCAAATTAGTCCCTTTGTCTTTTGAGGTTGCCAAGAAGATTGATGACAAAACAGTGTACTATGGAGTTGGAAATGAATGCATAGCTATCTCTTTCTTTTTTCTATTAAACAATACATTTTCTTTTTTGCATTGTTTACATGGTTTGGGGGCATGTATTGTGGGTCAGAATTTGAAAATCAGTATGCTACAGGTAAATTAGCCTCATTTTACAATTTGAAATTCAGTATAATTACTCTTTCCTTTTGTACCTAAAGCTCTGAAATCAAGTAGGCTCTTCTGAATAAAGTGTAGAATTTTTATCAGACTCCTTTTCACTTTTTTTTATTTCTGTACAAGCACCATATCCTCAAATCTGGTTTTCATCCAGACAAGTTTTTGGAGTTTTGACTCTTTCTGTCTAATTCTTTTTACCAAATCGATGTCCAGCTATATTATAAATATTTTTCTATCCAGCTACAGCTTTCTGGAAATTAACATTAAATGCAAATACTGAATATTAGTTTTAAAACTTTTATTTTGTATTTATTTTTTCAATAAATTTGAAGGAAATAACATGATACTAAAGAGCAAAGTACTGTGATAGAATGAACTGTATAAGAAGAAAGATACTGCTTTAAATAACAATTAAACTCCCATTTAGGACCCAAACCTATAAGATGCTGAGTGCCTTCAGCTCCTGTTAACTTCAGTGGGAGTTGAAGATACTTAGCACCTCTCAGGATTATGCCCTTAATCTTCCATTGTAGAAGCTCAGAATTATAACTTGGGCTTTACAACTAATCACTGCCTGATATTATACCTCTCAGGATTATGCCCTTAATCTTCCATTCTAGAAGCCCAGAATTATAACTTGGGTTTTACAACTCATCACTGCCTGATATTATACTGGTATGAAGTGATAAGAGAAAAAAGACCTCTTTCTATCCCTGGAAGGTCAAAGCATTTGAAGGGAATAGAAGAAGATTTTTGAATACTATTCCTACCTGCTGTCCTTTTGAGATTTGTTTCATATGGCTTCCCCACTGACTTCACTGAACTATTTGCAGTGTATAAAGTTTGCAGAATCAGGCACTTGGATTCTTCATTTGTGGGATATCAAATGTCATTTTCAATTCTTGAAGTCTCTTCTAACAGGAAACCTTTTTGCAGAAATAATCTGACCATATTCCTTTCTTTTTTAAAGTAGAGTTTAGTTGTTACAGACAATATCATAGGTGTGCATGGTGCGTTACAGACAACTAAAATAATTCCAAGCCTCATGGAGTTTTTAATCTGAAATAGGATAAAAGGGATGACAGTAATGGAGAGTGAAGAAGGGGGAAAGAAGTTGTGAATTACAGTAGTAAGAAGATAATCTTATGTGTAATTGCATCTTGTTAGTGCCATTTTTTTTCTTTAATACATTAAACATTTGGGATGCTGTCCAGAGTGAAACTATCAATGGAAACAAGCATCAGATGGGTAACTAAAAAAACTGATAGTAAAAAAAAATGTTTTTTGACAACATGCAGAAGCCTATTTCCAATATTTTTTCAGGATTCAGACAACTTTTCCGTTGGGTTAAATGGACTTTGTTATTCAAACCAGCAAATCTGGTTGCTACTTGCTTTAATTGAAAGAGAAACTGAAACAGATCCTGCCTCCTTTGTGCTACTATAGCAATCTTTACCTGGAATAATGGCCCCTTGGGGGCTGGTGAAAGCCAGTGCAATGGACCTTTGGGTGGAGATGGGCAAGTGGCATAATGTCAGTTCTGGCACCTCTTTCAATATGCACAAAGTGTAGCTCTTGAAGATTGAGTCCTCTGCTTTCAAGCCAGAGGAACCATGTTTCGTGACTGTCACCCGAAATTCCATAGCTTGGATTTTACCAGTCTGAAAATCTAACTTTAAAAAAAAATCTATATTAGAGAGCGACTCCTTTAGTGAAGCAGTCCCATGATATGGATTGTATTTTCTGTATATTCTTGATGTGCAGCTTCTTGGGATTGTTGATCTTGCATCGTCAGGGTCCTACCATAATATTTGCAGGACTTAGGCTGTATCTTGAACAGGCTTTTATTCTGAGAGATACCTTTGTTCTTGTTAGCTTTTTCTAATGCTTTCCTCACCATAGTACTTGTAAAATAAACAGCAGAGAATTGTTTGCTTTTGTGGCTGTAGTGACTAGATGAGAAAATGCTTGAATGGAACTGGTCAGAAGTGCGTCTTGACAATTATTTAGATTTAATAGAACGTATTCTTAATTAAATGCCAGTTGTTGTTAATCAATTTGGGAAACTGACATACAGTAGCTAGAGGGGAGGAGTATATAAATATGTCTAAATATGTTAGAACACTGCATCTCTAGGGTACAGTGGTCTGTGCTATCCAGTACAACTACAGGGGTCTTGTCTACATCCATTACAACTTCCAGTTCTGGACAGGTGAAGAATTGTCTGCTATTTCCAAGGAAGTATGCAAAAACATATTGCTTAGCAGTTCACTTCAAATTCAGGAGAACATGAAACACTGTTTTAACACATTCTAATTAGGCAGGTGGTGATAGATGCCCAGAAATGGGGGGAAATTGAAAATATAAGTTAATGTACTCTTAAAATTACCTGTTGGATTTAAAACACATTTGTTTTTATTATTAAACAGTTTATAACCAAAAATTGGAAAATAAAACAGCAAATCTAGGCTTTGAGGATTTTTAAACTAATTTTAATGAGAGTTTATTGAACTGTCCTAAATTCAGCAACAGTTTAATAGTTGTCCTCAAATACTGGCTCTTGCAATCAGAGAGTCACTTTAATCAGTGAGTCACTGTTTACCTTTTGTTGAATGCTCATTGTACAACATTCCATTTCATGTGGTTATCTTTTTGGTAAAGTGCATAGTCACCCTACTGTTCTTGAACAGTGTCTGTGTATGCCATAGCACCTGTCTACAGAAAGCTGCATTGTCTTTGGAAAGGAACTTTCTTGGATAGACAGTTACCAGAGAGAGAAAGAAGTGCTAGATAAGCAGAGCTCATATAAAAACGATGGGTTTGCAGATCTTTAAATGGTTGCTAACATTGTAAAATCTAATTTTGTTTCTTTTTTAGCCAGCTGTTCTAACTTTTATTTGTATTTATATTGAGACTTTTTTTTTCCACTCATTTTCTTGTACTCTAAAAATGTCAGCATGTAATTTTTTCATGGCGTGTGTATGCATATGCTACACTTGTAGGTACATATGTAATTCTCAATCCAATTAATTTCTATGGGGTTGTATTACTATAGTTTGTGCATTGTCCACAGTCTGGTGAGTGGGTACTACACTGGCTGACAGGCCTGAATTGCTATGTCCCAAATAAGTAAAAGAAATTAAAGCTTTTGCTGACTTTTCTCTTTTCTCTCCCTGGTTTCTAATGTGAAAGTCAGCAAACTGGATGAAGCATTCACACAAAAAGGCCCCTCTCACCTTGCAGTCTTTAATGTATTGATCCTCACAACACCGATCTGAGATAGGGATTAGTACTCCTATTTTACAGATGGGAAACTGAGACACAGAGGCACTACGTGCCTTGCCCAAGGTCATACAGGAAGGCTATGGCAGAGCTGGGAACTGAACCCAGGTTTCCCGAATCTCAGGCTAGCACCTCAACCACAGACCATCCTCCCACGTTTGCATTTGCTACCTTTTCCCTCTTCTTCTGTCCTTCATTTTGTATGTAGAAATTGCTATGGCTTGAATTTCTTCAGCATTTAAGGCTGCAGAGTTTGTAGGTCGTATGGGGGAGAGACTCTCCCCACTCACCCTAGTGGATCTTATAACTTCTGCAGGCTCCTAGCCCCATTGACCTCACTTCCTGCTTTCTCATTTATTTCAAGCATCCCAGTGAATTTTATGTGTGGTAGTATAGTTTCATATCCCCCAAGGTTGTGCTGTAGTATGATTTTATTTCTTAAAGTTTGAAAATGGAAGTGGCTAATGTATACATCAAGCACAATCTGGATTTTGGCTTAAATATAAGATGTGAGTGGACAAAATGATTTGAGAAAGCATGCTGCTGCCATAAGCTTAATAACTATTTGATT